TATTAGGTGAAAAACTATCCGAATGGGTTCACTTATTTTGATTTAATGGGGCAGCATTTTCACAGAAAATGGAAAATTAGATCGAGAGATAGAGACTAGATGCCAGAGAGCCAACGCAGTCAGCTACCAACTGGGCCCTCTCCTGAAACATCCCAATATCCCCATGAGCACCAAGGCGAAGCTCATCAACGCCATTTTCCTTCCAACGCTCACATATCAGTGCCAGACATGGACTCTAACAAAAGCCCTAGAGAGGAAACTGGTCACATGCGAGATGAAATGCTTAAGAAGAGCGGTCAACAAAACAAGAAGAGACAAAATTAAAAATGAAGTCATAAGGGACACTGTGGGAGCAACACCAGTCTAACCACACATTGAAAAACAAAAGGTCAAGTGGTTAGGACACCTCACGCGGATGCCCTCAAACCATCCAGCTCTGAGAGCATACAACATTAAATATTCTGGATGGAGAGCCAGAGGAAGACCAAGGCGACGATGGAGTGAATCTGTGGCAGACACCCTTAAAGATCATGGGATGTCCCTCCTACAGGCCACACGACTTGCTGCAAACAGACACTTGTGTCTCCCCGCGACACCCCGGGGTACAAGCGGAAGAAAAAAGTAAAAAGTAAGTAAAGACCAATTTAGGGACACAAATAAGTCAATTTCAGATTTCGTACCAAAAGAGGGCTCCAGCATAATGGGTTTAGCTCCCTTGGAGATAAAGAGTTAAATTACTTGGACACTTTAGACTTGGGATGTCAAACTAAAACGCATGGGGGACCAAAACACAAAACTACACTTAAGGTTGCAGGCTAAACTTATTAAGCAGTGGAAATCTATACCTTTTTAAAAAAACTATAATATGAATTAAAAGAAACCTAAAAAGTAACACATCAAGGCATACCAATTTGTCAGTTTGTCAGAGCTGGATGTTTGTCATATTTTCTCGGCAACAAGTTCGATGCATGTGTTATGGAGATTCTCAGGATGGCCTATCTAAAAATTCTCTAGCAGACCGGACCTAATTGTTCTCCAGGCCTTGAGTTTGACATCTGTGCTCTAGACATACTTGATCAGTAGCTTGTAAATATGCAATGCTTGATTCTTCACTATTAAAAAACGAAAAATTGCATTTTATATATCATATGAAAGGAATCTCCAAATAAATTATATGTCTCTAAAAATTAAGTTTTTTTGGTAAGCAATACTGCATGATGGCTAAAAAATAAGAAATTGAAAAATAACATAACATGCTGTATTGTGATGTTCAATTTCATTAATAAATTAAAAGTTATTCGAATCGTACAGTCGCAATCGCTTCCCCTGAATTCTACACCCAAGTTACTCTCCCATAAATTGATAGTAATCATTAACTGTAAATGTTCACACTCCCATTAATACAAATCATTTAGGAGGAAGGCTGCTTCAACCCAGTCTGTCTCTCAAGGCCAATTCAGCAGTGTGGGATACAGCATCCCACTAGAAAGACATCAAAAAAGTTACTTCCTTATGCAGGAACTGAACTCACATTTTCCGCGAGCAACAGTGAGGAGCCTAACCCTTACACCCCACAAATAATAGTGCACTTTCACCAAGGTTTATTGTCCTAAGAGACAAGGCAGTAGTAATATCCTGGGGAAGTCTTTTCATTATTTGTTTGAGTAAAGAGAGGCACGTCGACACAATAATGGCCATTTAGTGCTGGGGAAAAGCAAGACAGACAGACAGACAGACAGACAGACAGACAGACAGACAGACAGACAGACAGACAGAAACAACACAGAGACAGTAAAGAAGTAGGACCAACCAGCAGAGCCCTACAACCACCCGCTGAGGAAGTATGTGAGGCTGCCTTGTGGAATCACCTGAGGTAACAAGACATCACATCACCTGAGATAATAAGATATCACATCACATGAGGTAACAAGACATCACCAGAGGTAACAAGACATCACATCACCAGAGGTAACAAGACATCACATCACCTGAGGTAACAAGACATCACATCACCAGAGGTAACAAGACATCACATCACCTGAGGTAACAAGACATCACATCACCTGAGGTAACAAGACATCACATCACCTGAGGTAACAAGTCATCACACACTCATTCTGACTGCAAGTAATCAATAATACACTGTCTGTCATTGCCTTAACATAAACCCTCACATTTTTGGAAGACACTACAGAACGAGCTGCACTCAGGAAAATTGGCCTTAATATCATTGTAATTGGAGAATTAATATATTTGCTTACTATCATCATTATTATTACTCAGATAACTAAGATCATATATATTTAATAAGTTAACTTCCACTCTCATTTCGAAAACATATAAATGTACAGACAGTTACACCCCTCTTCGCACACACCTTCCTCCCAGCCGCAGGGGTCCCTGTGAAGGAAATACTGGACACAATAAACAGTCATGAGAAAATGAGAAATATTTTGCTCACCAGCTGTTCAAACGCACTTTGCCCAAAATTCTGAAAAACATTTTTTAGCGGAGCTTTTTGTGGTATTGGTTGCATATGCTCCAAAAATATTTTGTTGAGATTCAAATTCCAAATGTTGAAACAAACAAGAAAAGATACATGATGCAGGTACAATTGTTGAAAAAAATTAAACAATTTTTTTCCCCCTCAAAACTGAAAAATGTTTCTTCCAGGGATTAGAGAAGTTGACAAGCTTGTCGGTCATTTGTATAATTCAACCATTAACATAATGCATTTAGAACACTCAGTTTCAGCAACAATCAACAGCAAATATCTCCTGAAATTGGAGGCCTACTTGTAAACAAAGATTTTCTTCTTGAGTCAAAACCAGAATCTGTTGGTTTTATCTACAGCACATTTGGAGGTATTTTGTCGCCCTTGTGATAAGACCAGCTCACCCCCATCAGAGTAAATCTTACAGGAGAAGCAAAACTTATCTGATTTCATCACGCAGTGATCTGGTGGCCAGCGGGTTGTTCGGTTTTATTTCTCACGTTTTAGGAGCATTTTTGTCAAAGTTCAGACCTGTCTTCGACTGAGTATATTATTATGAAAAGGATAAATTTACTATCGATTTTCAATTCATCAAAGTAAAGAAAATTGAAATTCTATGGTTTAGCAATATGAAACAATTAAGTCTCTTGGACCATGAGTTTACCGGGTATTACCAACAAGATACCAAGCAGGGCTTGTGTCATCCTTGCCTTCGCATCCATGCATATCTGTTATTATTAGCCATTCCAATCAATATGAGACGCCCTTCCCATTTATACAATGATAGCTTAAATGACACATATAAAAGACTAAAATGAAAAAGAAACACAGACAAGAAACAGATCGTAACAGTGTTATAAAAACGCTAAAATACTCGACTGAATTCAGATTTCTTGCTTGTAAAAATTCACAAACTGTGCCATAAAAATTATAGTCCCATCTTTGTTGCTTCAGCTGCGATAAAGTAAGAGGAAGATTGTACCACTGGGCTGGGGATATCAAGTTACTAAACAAAAACAAAGGTGGAATAGCAGAATAGCAGAGTTATAAGACACACGACAGCAGCCCCTTCCAGCCACCCACGCACATCACAGCCAACGTATAAGTAATTTTCACAACAGAAGTTTTTAAAAGTTTACAAGCTCGGATGCTCACACAGCCTGAGGTATCTCAAACTCTGAGAGAGCTAAAAAAAAAAAAAAAAAAGTAACAGACCAAACCTTTTTACATTTTCTCAAATAACAACAGAAACATCGTCAACAACTATAAAATGAACTTTTGCATAGATCTCGCATTTCTCATCACATCTGACCTCTTTGGTCAGCCATACTATATTGTACAAAGTACTCCACTGAGATCAAAATCTTCAAGACCACCGGATTTTCTTCAGAGTTGCCATGTTTTCATCTCTAGACAGATTGCTCAAATAGTGAAGGAACAAAATCAGGTATTCTATTTTCTTTCAGCTTACCACCTTTTTTGGATTAACCATGAACCATGTTCAGTCATCACACACAGTGCATCAGACATCATCATGCAGATCAGATGGCATAACACATCAGACATCATCATCATGCAGATCAGATGGCATAACACATCAGACACAGTATCACACTCTGAACACACCACTCATCAAACACCAAGCAGCACACAGAGCAGAGATATGTGTCACGATGCAGTGGAATCAGGCGCTTGTCAATTTTTGGGTATGTAGGTCTAGAGTTATTCGTATCATCTTAAGCTTGTTCATAAATGTATTTTTCAAGTTGAGGTATTTGTGACTGAAGGAAGTGGGGGTCACGTATTTTCAGAGGTAAAATAAGCGAGAAAATGGCCAACAAAGTTTGGTGACTTCCATAGCTTGAGTGTCTTTGAAAAATGAAAATTTACATTTCTGTGTCGCCTTTAATCAACATTTTTCAGTGAAAATCCACACAAAAATGTGTTTCAAAATGGACATAAAAGGTGTTGAGCCAAAAAAACAAAAATTCAATAAAAATTGCTAGACCTAAACTGGCTAAAAAATGCAGATATCTACGTCATTATTTCGACAAGCGCCTGATTTCACCACGATGCCTCACATATCACATCAGTCTCTCTATTCCTCTCAGCTCAATTTATGATAGCCATCCTCAATTAGGCTACTGTACAGAGTGCCTTCTCAAGCACAACACTCCCAGCAGCTTGCAGTTGGAACTACTGCGCTGGTGGCCTGTTGTCAACTGTCCCCAGGTTTTATGCACCCCGCATAATCTAGCAAAATTTGATCATTTTTTGCATAATTTCTTATTATTTTCCTTCATCGTTCTTTGTTAAAATTAACAGAATCGCATAATTTCATATTTTTGGGCTCAGTTTGCATAATTTCAGATTTTTTGGGGGGGCATAAAGCCAAGGGGACAGAAATGACAATGATGATGATAAAGACAAAAATCACTTTTTTTTTCATTTGTCTGAGATAAAGTTTTCATGCAAACACATGTCTTTTACCTTCAGAAAAATTTTCTGGTAGAATACACGTCTTGAGAAATACTGTCCAGTTTAAAGCTTTTTTTTTTGGTTTGTTTTTGTTCTGTTACTTAGCAACAGATAGTAAGGGTGACGATGGGGACAATCACAGTGATAAAGACATCAGAGATGTTGATGACGATGATGATGCTGATGATGGAGATAAAAATTGTGTATTTTCTTTTGAAATGCAACTTTTTTACAACTGTCCTATATTTACTTTTACAACAAATAATAATGCCCACAATTATGACTATTGTAATGATTATACGATTATTCATATTCTGAAAATGAGATTCAGCTGTCTGCAGATATAACTTTCTGTTCACATACTCTCTGTCGCTTAGACTCCACATTGCACCAGTTTTTTGTTTTTTTTCCCCTGTACGAGCAAACGGTTTTTGGCAAACATTAAACCATAACATTTCTTTTAATACTTTGCACATTCCTGAGAAATCCACAACAGAATCAATCTATAACTTCTCAAAATTGACATCCTGACAGATACAACCATCTAATTAAAATTCTACTTTAAAATTTACCTTGCCTTTACTTTCACACGAAACACCCTCCTCATTCTCAACACTACAGGTCTTGTTCTCCGAAACTAAAAAAATCCCCCAAAACAATGATGATATCATCATCAACTTATCTAGATCCTCTAAAAAGCTCTGTGAGTGACCCGCGAAAAAGCAGATTGACAATGTCTTTCTACATACTTAATTTTTTTTTTAAATGGGTAGCCAACTGGCACATCCACTGTCCCTCCTCTTCTCCCTCCCCTTCTTCACACCCCCCTCCCCCTCCTCGCCTTCTCCTCCACCCTCTCCTCTTTCACTCATACCCCCCACCCCCTGAAATATGCAAATCATCAGAGCGCCATCTCTCGCACCTGGGTATGTAAATTGCAGGCCATGTCTGAGATTCCTGTGGGTCATTATGCTGTGTATACCGGTAATCAGAACATCATCTAGACTACAGAGGAGTCCGTTTAAACCAAACTATACTAGACCACCAGGGGGTCTCTTTGGTTTAGCCGAGTTTTCAGTTTAGAGAGATATTGCTCAAATATCGTAGAAAAAAAAATCGCGTAATCGCAGATTCTATTTTCTTTCCATTTACAACTGTTTTACAATCAAGCGTGTTCGGTGTAAGCGGACTCCACTGCATTTAGGAGGTAGGCTGCAGGATCACAGGTCATCCTTTGAGCAGGTCTCAAGAGGTTTTTCCTTCTCCATGAATGATTCCAGTATCTTGGCCGTGTCGTGGTGGTGAAAACGTTTTGCATCATCAACTGGCATGAACCCCCATCTGCAACATAAAACGGAAGATAATAAATAAATCTTCACTGCAGAAGTCAATTTTTAATTTGACATTGCTAGAAAAGACTCAACATTCACTTACGGATCTGCTGTATAGTCTTATCAAAAGGCTTTACTGTCACAGGCGACGTAATGAATGGGTTAAACACAAGTTGATGAAGCAGAAAACTCCACCTAAAAAATCCCTTTTCCGATTTTAACATTCATGAGGCACGAGCTCAGGAAAAAATGACCATGTCTCAATCTAAACAAATGAGGCGCTTGATGAAATACCTTCCTCACATACGAATCAAACTCACGTTTTGTCTGCGCAACAGCAAAGCACGTAACACAAACACCACTCTACATAGCTCTGTCTGTCACCAGAAAATCAAAACCACGGAAACTCACCTGTCCACCAAGAAGGGAGAACAACGACATTTGTCCAAGAGGAACTCCACCACGCCCGTGTGACCCTCGGCGGCGGCAACGTGCAGCGCTGTCCGCCCGTCATAATCCGCGTGACTCATGTCCATCCCCATCAGGGCACACCTGTCGACAAACCAGATTTTTCAGAGACTCATGACAATTATGTTTGCTTAAGGTGTTTAAAAGCCAAATAATCAAATACATATATATAGAAACCAACTTGTTCTCAGGGTATGAAAATGTGGGTTGTATTTGATTGAACTTTGAAAAAAAAAATTTGGAAAAGTCTGAGCTACTGAAATCAAAGAAGAGTTATAAAAAACTTCAAAATAAGGCTTATATTCTGGTCACTAATTTGTGATTCTTAATTAATTTTAAAAAACATACACCACAAGATTAAAAGACAATAAAGTAAAGATGGAAATGTTAAAAAGATAAAACAAAATTATTAGTTACAGCACAGATTGAGAAAAAAAAAATTCTAAAATAATAATGATCAAAGACTGCTTGCAATCTTAATGGCAAAAGTACAAGTGACTGTTCTGCACAGATAGCCGTTAGACCAAGTTCAACGGTACATTTCCCCTTCAGGTGTTGTGAGACTCACCTGCGGATGGCGGTGACGTCACCGTTGAAGGCTGAGAAGAGAAGGTTGACCACCATATTGGCCTGAGTGTCCACCTGCAGCACACGCGGGTCCAACTTACGCGGCGTGTGGCGCAAGTTGTCGTAGTTGTGGAAGTTGAAGGTACGCACCAGATCCTGAAGACATACGTAGGTACATAGAAATAAACACGTGTATATTTCTGTCTCTTTAGACACATAAAAACAAACATATGCCTTTTTAGACACATAGTTACAAACATGTGTCTTTTTCTATTTCTTTAGATCCCGAAGACATACATAGACACATGGAAACAAACATGAGCATGTAACCTTTGGCCCAATACTATATTTAAAAAGGTGGAGGTAGGGATTGCCTATGTACAGATAGCATGTTTTCACAGGAAGCAGGTGCTTAGTGAAGAGTAGAACTAAAGATACTTCTACAGTGTTTTGTTAATCGATTTTTCTATCTCTTTTGAACCCGAAGACATAAGTAAAGACATGGTAACAAATACAAGTATATTTCTGTCTCTTCGGCTACGGCCACAACACTTACTTCAACTTAAAGAAAAAAACATTTACAATAAGAAGAAAAATAATACCAGAGATGGAGATAAATGATAAAATAAGTTCCCCATCCAAGAATCGAGCTCATGCCTTTAGCATGTAACGGTGAGAAACCCACCTTTTCCTTATCAGTAACATTTTCTAACCACTCCCTTCAATGGGACATTTCAGTGACCCATGCTCAGCACTTTTCAAGGACCTCCAAGCAAGTGTTGAGATCCTGTGTACTGTAAGCATCGCTGACCGTTTATGACGCCACAGTGCCAGAAGAGAGAGAGAGAGAGAG